GGGCAGTGTCACTGGCCCTCATATGTGGGATCCGAACCAGGGCCCTCTGGCATCCCAAGCGAGTTCTTAACCATCGCGCCACTCGGCCGGCCCCATACATTCTTTTTTTGTCATAAAATAATTCCATATATACATCTTTGTATCTGGCTTTCATCACTCACACTGTGTTTTATTATTTATAATTCAGAGAACAGTCCCGATAATTACTGAGCACTTTCAATGGGGTGACAACTGGACACACATTTAATCCTTTTTAGAAAGCTTGTCAATACAGCCATGATTGTCCCCTTCACAGCCAGGATAAGGACACTGCCCATCAAACAGCTGTGCGTAGCACAATAACGATTCCGATCCAGGTCTGCCGCTCTCCAAACCCCTCTTCTCAATCTCTGCACTATACTGCTTTTCAAATATTTTATAATAGAACATGTAAACGACACCTCTAAGTCATGACAATTAGTTTTATCAAAGAAACCAATCTCTTTTTCATTTGTCACAGTTAAGTTCTTTGTGGAAAAGAATTAATCAGTAACATAACACACCGAAAAAAAAAATCATGATTTCAAAGACTCGACATCCAGACTTACTTGTAACTTTCCACTTGTCGGCAGGAAGAGACGGTAATGAAGGAATCTGTCCGGGAACTGTACGCAAGGGGGCCGGGTAAGAGAGAGCCAGGAAGAAATCGCCCAAAAGCATAGCTTTCCTGCTCAAACACCATCAGCATCCCATCCATAGACTGGATACAAATTAAATCTCGACCTAAAGAATCAGAGGAAATTAGGTGACCTCTTCACTTTTATAAACATGGTGGTTTTAATTTATCACTATCTACAACAAATATGTCATAGTTAATTTTTCCCCCCATAGGGCAAAATGAGCAGTTTAAACTTTAAGTTACAAACGGATGAAGCTATCAGGTTACTTTCTATCATATATACATTTCTCAATTTTTAAATGATTCAGAAGATGTCTATAATTTTACATTTATTTTCATTTACTGTATGCTACAATCTCTAGCTCAAGATAATCCCTGAGAGCAATATAGTGAGATAATGATAACAATGATTATTTCTGTGATACAGTGCAGATAGTATCCCTAATCTGAGAAAGATCTAGTGGCTATAACTTTTCATGTTCTGCTGGTGTGTTAGTGTATTAGGTAGGGAAGAAGGACGTCAGAGAAAAGTTAAGCTACTCCTTAAGGGAATAAACCTAAGGTCAATCCTCTGATTAATTTGTCATCTCTAACCCACACTTACCAGATAGAGTAAGTCCTGTAGTAACTACTCCATTTTACCTTGGACAGCAGTGCCAACATAATATACTTAAATTTTGAAATTTAAAGAATACTTTGCTCAAAAAGAAAATAAACTACATAAAAGTAAATGATATTCTTATTACTGTATCTGACTATTCATACAAGGGCAAATTTTTATAAGAAAGTATGTTGCCAGAGGGCTTTTTTAAAAAAAGAAATAAAATTCAATTCTGGGGTGTTTATTACTGCAACACACTCTACCCCATCTTGATCGATTCAATAGTTCTATCATCTGTTAGATGCTCCAGGTTGAATATTGTCTTAAGCATATGAATGTTCGCTAAACGCACATCAGAACCACTCTGGGGAAAGGATTCTTCCTATTAATGCTGTTGTAAAGTGTATTCTCTCAGTGCGTGTAGGATTTGCAGTCACTATTTTATGGTTTTTTAAATCTAATATTTATCTACTACGCTTTTTAAAGGCTTCCAAAAAAGGCATAAGTTTGTATGCATGCTGTACAAGTGTATTCACAGAGATCTGTTGAGAGAGTGCCTCACTAATTGAGAATTTAACTATTTAGCAATCCCACCTGTCTGCACCCAGCAAAAATGAAAAAAGTATAAAAATGCCTCTAAAGAGTCTAAAGAGATGCTGTGAAGTCTTTGTAATGAAAATCGTGCAAACTTTTTCCAGGAAGATTCCCAGGTCTCACTCAGGCATCAATTCTTATTTTATAATGGTCCTCACAATTGTAGTTCTCATAAACAGGTTACTGATATCACCGGAGCTTCGGCCTCCTCATATGTAAGATGAATATACTTATATAAAAGCTCCAAAGTTAGAGATAAGATGTAAAATTCTCTAACACTGTACATCAAACATAAAACACACAATAAATTGTAGCATTATTATGATGGTTATTGTTACCTGCTTTCCCAGCCCAGAGGAAAGAAAATGGCAAATTAGAAAAGGTGTGAAGCCACGGACACCTGCGAGTCGTGACAGCTAGGCCCTAACAAAAAAGAAGATGACAGAACATCTATAAAATACCTATCAAATAATTCAAAAAGGAATAACACTCTGGGCTCAGCGTAGGCGCAATTACTAGCTCTAGACAGCTCAAAAAGAGAAATGTCATATTGTAATGAATTAGGAGTTATTAAATATATTTAATATAGCTTGGTATAGCTCAGTCATTTGCAAAAAAGGACTTGTGGCTGAGATGCTAACTGCTACCCCCAGTAGTCATTCTTTCTTTCAGTACTTGAATTATCACTAGACGCATGGCCATCCAGAATAAAGCCTTCATTCTCAGGCCTCTACTACATAGATACATCATATGACTACATTCTTACCAATGAGAGGAGAGCAGAGGTAATATGCTCAACATCCAACACGCCCTTAAAAGGACTGACTGTGCACTCCCTTCCCCTCTTCCCATTGTGATGGGAGCGGGGGAACAGCCATCTTGCCCTCAGAGATGGAAGGCACATGTTGAGCACACAGAGAGCCACCCAGGAGCCCTGGTGCACTTTATCTCTAGGTGATTAAATATGCAAGAAATAAACATCTTCCTTAGCTAAGCCACCATTAAGCTGGGTCTTTGTTAAAGCAATCAAACCTGTATTTAAATAACACAGAAGCTTATCTGAGCCTAAAGATCCATCCAGCATTGATGATGCTTAGAATTTACTTTCACTTCGTTAGATCCTGGTACCAAAAAACAACCAAGTATAAAAGACACTGGAACAACAGCAGAAATTGGAATATGACTGCATGTTACATAACAGGAATTATTGTAAATTTTCTTAAGTGTGATCTTGGAAGTGAAATTACATAAGAGAATGTTCTTATTAGGAGATGTGTGCTGTAATATTTATGGGTGAAGTGGTACAAGATCTGTCAAATGGTTCATCAAAAAACTGTGTGTGTGTGTGTACGCATTTATAATTGTTGAGACTAGACTATGGAAACATGAATGTTAATGGTTACTTTTTCTGATATTTAAATTTTTCATAATAAAAAGGTAGACCAATAAAGTGTTTAAATATATGTGTTTTGTATACTAATGCACTTTTTTAACAATCTAGGGGCAACTGACCATTAGTGAATTGAGTGGGACCTAGAAGGAGAGCAATAAATTTAATCTTAATAAGTCAAGATTCAGGCAAGAAATCTAATCAATGAAACACTTATGCAATGACAGAGGCCTTTGAGGGAGGATATTACTGTAACCAAATATACTCTTGACACTTGTATTATTAAAAAGTGTGAGATCAGAGCATATGTACTTCCTAGCAGAAATATCAATAAAATTTGAGTTCATTTCAATATGTTGAATATCACTGAACCACAAATCTTCACTTTCCCAAAGACCTCAAAGAAGTAGTCCTCCAGGTGTGTCCCCTGGACCCCCAGCAACAGCTTAGCTGAGAAACTTCTTAGAAATGCAAATTCTAGGGTCCCACTCTAGATCTACTGAGTCAGAAACTCTGGTGTTAGGACCCAGAAATTCTAGGTTTTAGAAGCCCCAGAGGCTAGCAGATGAATAAGAAAATGTGAGAACCACTGCCTTAGCACAGTATGACAAAGAACTAGAACCTAAAGAAAACTTGAGCCTAAAGAAAACTTGAGCCCAGCGGAAACTTGGCTCCTTAGCATGCGATACGAGGTCTTATTTCCTAAAATTCTAGCAATAGAGAGGACAGTACTAGGTATAATGTAATCTCCATGTGGGCTGCTCCTAGAGTCAGATAAGCTGGGTTTGAGTCCAGCTCCACCAATTATTAGCTGTGAGCTTGGGCTCAAGTTTCTTTATCTACAAGACGGCGCACCTACTTTAGCTGGTTGTTGTGAGAATTAAATGAAGCAATGTATGGAAGTTAGGTCCAACAGATGGTAAATACACCATCACGTGATTATTTTATAATTATTTTCTAAGTCTCACACTATATGTTGTATTAATGTTTAACTGCTGTTTCCCACAAACATTTTGATGGTGCATGCTTCCTTGCTTTTGCTTATATTTTTACCTTCTCCCCAAAACACTCTTTAACTTTTCTTCCCCTGATCTAGTAAACATGTGCTGGCTGCCTCCTGGTCACCCATTCCCTTCTCCTCTCATCTTTAGCCATGAGATCTGAATGAGGCTGGAGTGTAGGCCTGACTTAGGTAAACCAATTGGTATCCCACTTGTGACAGTGATTGGTTCAGGGATGGGTATAATTTACAGCCAATGAGAGAAACTTCGATTGCGATGGGACTAGAGAAAAACTTACTCTCCCCCCTTGGGGAGACATTTGTGAGGAGGATAAGGTATGGAATGACAGAAGCCATTTGGCTTTTACAGGGCCACAGAAGACACAGTTTGAGTCAGTGCATCAGGCCTCACCTAGAGGCAAACCTACCTGTAAACTTTACAGGCAATAGATTCCCATAAATATTGAGGCCACTTGGACTTGGGTCTCTATCCCTAAATCAAGTGGGTCATCCCGTTTGTCCTCTGATTAACATCACAGGCTGGGGCTCATGTCATCCCAGAAGTCTACCATTTGCCCCTCAACCCCCTCCATCTGTGAGCCCACAGACCCCATTCTTACCTCCGCCTTACAACTAATCATTGATTGAAATGGTCAGGTTTTGTGTTTTTCACTCACCCTAGACTAAACTCAAAGGCAGGAACTAAATCTTACTCATCTTCGTAAATCCAAGAACTATAAAATGCCTGGCGCGTAAGAGATATGCTAATAAATGACTCTTAAGCTGAAGTGAGCTAGGCAGAATAATTTATTCATCCCCAGCTCGATTTGCTGAGATCTTATTCTATGTGCTTCACATACTGCATTTAAAGTAAGTAAAAGATGCTTTATTTATTACAATCCTGGCTGCTGACATTTAGAAAAATGTAGGGATCAATCCAAAACATTACTCAAAAATAAATAAATAAATAAATCCTTCAAATCACTGTTTTGGAAGCCACTTCAGAATACATACCAGAGGCTCCCCTTACGGATAATGGGAACAGAAAGAACAGTCCAAAGAAGCCATGAAAGTTTTGTAGTTCTGATAGAGCCAACAGGAAGCCTTCATAAAAGCGATGGGATTTCAGGAGCTATTTCAATGACCCAGCCATGAACCATACCCAAAGGCACCTTACCACATGCTCAGTATTATATTAGGAGCAGTAAGAAATACAGAACAACAGCAATAATAACTGCTACTGCCATTTACTAAGCACCTGTTACATTCCTGTCTTTGAGCTAGACATTTATCCAGCAAATTAGCTATAATCTTTAATAACTCTAAAAAGGTGAACAATTGTCCCATGTTACACATGAGAAGGCTGAAACCCATACAGCCTACATAATCTGTCTAATGCCAAAGAATTAGAAAATGACAGAGCTAGTGCTCAAATCAGAATCTGTCTGGCTCCATCATCCCTGCATGTTCCCTGGGAGGCTCCACCGTACCATACTGGGTCCATTCGTTAAAATAACAT